GTCATCATCATCGTCATCATCATCATCATCATCATCATATCTTCTCTAGTCTCAAAGGGAACGAATTTTTGGCTGGAAAGCTAGTAAATATTAATTCTGGTGTACTGGTAATGACTAGAGACAGCTGTGAAGAGGTGAATGACAATGTATTAGATGTGGTTGAATTCAATTCTTTCAGTGATGGTGGAGTGCTAATTGGGAACGAAGAAAATATTGAAAGGGTTAATAATGTGCCAGATTGGAAGAGAACACATACTGTGAACCTCAAACAAATAAATGATTGCCATTTAAAATCTAGCAATCTGTCACAGGAAGAGGCTGGAGTACCAGAAGTTGTATCTGAAGTAGATGAATCAAGGGTCAATGGAGTACTGGTTTTCCCATGAGGTTTCAAGTACGAAAGGTGCACAGTGCTGAGTCACTTCTATCTGAAAGTGGTGGACCTGAAATGTCAGGAGGATTGATTGTGACAGTCGCAGTTGGAGACTTGAGAGATTCACAGGGCGAAATAATACATGAGAAACTGTCAAAATTCGATATTATTGGAGAATATGAGACATCGGAAAAAGAGTGGACCTGAAATCTTTGTAGCACCAAACGTGACTTCTTCTGTTGAAGGCTCTAGAGATGCAAGGGATGGAATAATACATGAAAATCCAGTACAAACTCAGATACGTGCCATCAGCGTAGTTGAGACAGCTGAAAAGAGGGAGCCTGAAATTTCTGGAGGGTCAACTTTGACAGTCTCTGTGGGAGCCTTAGGAGATCCACAGGTCGGAATGATAGATCACATCCTCTTAAAGCCCCAGGTTACGAGTGTCCTTGAAGATGGTAAAATAGCTGAAAGCAAAGAAAGGTTTAGACAACGGCTTTGGTGCTTCTTATTTGAAAATCTTAATAGGGCAATAGATGAGCTTTATCTTCTCTGTGAATTGGAATGTGATTTAGAGCAGACGAAGGAGGCTATTCTGGTGCTTGAAGAGGCTGCCTCTGATTTCAAAGAGTTGACTGATAGAGTAGAGGAGTTTGAGAAAGTCAAAAAGTCCTCTCCTCAGTCAATTGATGGAGCACCAATAACTTTGAAGACGGACCATCGCCGGCCACATGCACTTTCATGGGAGGTAAGGATGTTTACTTCTTTTACTCAAGCAACCAACAAATGCACCGAAATCAGTGTAACATTTGATTGAACTTTTGACAAGAGTTCTTCAGATAGAATATGGCATTTTTTCTTGGCGTTATTTTTGTGTTTAGAATTGGCATTTTTGTTTTGGTATTTTTCCTGTTTCCTCTGATGTTTTAAAGTAGTAATTTAAGATATTTTTGATGATTCATCTCAAGCATTTATTATGATATTCAGAGAATCTGAAGAAATAAAAAGTTGGATTCTTATCATGAAATGAGATTTAGCAGCGAGGATTTATTGAACCTTGTGAATAATTTGATTGACATGTAAATTTTTTTGTACATGGGTGGCACCTTATTAGTGCCTATAGTAATATACTTCATCATTTATCTTAAAAAAATGTTTATGTGAAAGAATAGAATGTCTTATATTTCATTGAATATTAGGGCGATATATATATAGTTTTATATGAATAATAAAAGGAAATACAAATAATTACAAAGAGAGGAATATTACTAATGTACCATTAACCTTAATATATACTTCCTAACATTCTCCCTCCAACTGATAAGTAGATATGATCCACTCCCAACTTGAAAATAATTGTCTGAAGTCCAAGATTGCTCAATCTTTTAGTCACCACATCATAAGTTGCGAGGTGCTAGGTATATGAGGTGTGCATATCAACCAATTATCCAGCTTTTTCTTGATGAAATGTCTATCGACTTTGATATGTTTAATTTTACCATATTGTGTCATATTGTGAACAATATTAATTGCTGACTTATTGTCACTATAAATTAGTTAATGAGTCATTTAGAGAATTTGGGGGTTGGAAAGGAGTAGCATGTG